CCACCCAGGTGCCCCCAGCTAGAATTTATATGAGATTTTGATACAGTTGTTTTATACAAAATAAATGCATTTATGTTAACTCTTCCTTGTATCATTGAAAGCCATTTACTAATAGAATGGAGAGTTAATCCTATCCACAACACAAGTCTCAGGACTGGTAACTTGAATGGAGAGTTAATCTTATCCAAAACCCAAGTCTCAGGACTCTGGTAACTTCTACCTTCTCTTCGACCTTCGGGCCCAGAGGCGGTGACCGCTGCTTGCTCCAGCTAGCCCTGAAGTGCGCCGCCGTCCCCTCATCTCACTCACACATGTCCCTTCATTAAACTTGAATTCTCCAGGTGAAGGTGTCATTTGTTTCCTGCCAGGGCCCTGGTTGATACTGATTTATTTTTGAAACTTGGCGTCATGATTTTAGTTTACTGAAAAGAATGATTATCCAAGAACACCTAAGACCTTTGTGAAAAAGAATAGCAAAGAGAGATTTGCCTAACCAGATAATGAAAACTTATCATAAAACTAAAATCCTGTGTAAGGAGGGCACATGATGTGATGAGCACTGGGTATTATACCAAGACTGATAAATTGTTGAATACTACATCTGCAACTAATGATGTGCTTTAAGTTGGCTAACTGAATTTTTCAAAAAAAAAAAAACTAAAATACTACAGTACTGCCGTTGAAATAGAAAATAGACAACTACAAGAGAACTGAAAGTATAAAACAGAAGGTTCAGGAATATATAGGCACAAGTTTTTACATCAGTGAGGAAAAGATGATTTGCTAATTAACTGTGTGGAAATACATCTAATGAGGTAGAAAACTAATGTGGACTCTTATCTTTGACCAAGTAAAACATAAATTCCATATGGATTAAGAATCTAGGGGCGCCTGGGTGGCTCAGTTGGTTAAACAACTGCCTTCAGCTCAGGTCATGATCCTGGAGTCCCGGGATCGAGTCCCGCATCAGACTCCCTGCTCAGCGGGGAGTCTGCTTCTCCCTCTGCCCCTCCCCCCTCATGTGTTCTCTCTCTCTCAAATAAATAAATAATAAAATCTTTTAAAAAAATAAATAATAAAAAAAAGAATCTAAGTATAAAAAGTAAAATAAGGTATTAGTGAGGGGTGCCTGGGTGGCTCAGTCATTAAGCGTCTGCCTTCGGCTCAGGTCATGATCCCGGGGTCCTGGGATCAAGCCCCACATCAGGCTCCCTGCTCTGGGGAAAGCCTGCTTCTCCCTCTCCCACTCCCCCTACTTGTGTTCCGTCTCTCACTGTGTCTCTCTCTGTCAAATAAATAAATAAATAAAATCTTAAAAAAAATTTTTTTTAAATAGGTATTAGTGAAATTTGGAATAATGTGTATGAAACTAGAGTGGGGTATAACTGTCCTAAGGCAAAACAAAAACTCACCAAGACATTAAAAACTTAACATATATAGAAACAAAAATTTGTTAAATGGAAAGAGATATAACATCAGAAAGACAAAGCATGAGAAAAATATTTGTAGCACCTATGACAGATAAAATGCAATAACCACAGTATAGAATGTGTTTCCACAAACTGTTGTAAAAGGATAATAGGAAAAAAAAAGTCAACAAAAGTTATCAATAGGGATTAGGGTAATATCCAAATAGCTAATAAATATATGAAATGCTGCTCAAGCTTAATGATAATTAGGTCAATGTAAATCAAGGTAAAATGAGACATCATTTTTTGACACAAGTGGCTGGCTAAAATTACAGAAGATTGATAACAGTTCCTAGCGGAATGTTGGGGAAATGACACTCTCATTTATTAATGATAGAGTGTGAGTCATTCCATATAATTTGAAAAGTGATACAGAAAACTACTAAAATCTAAAACAGTGAACCAACAGTCTCACATTGGGGAACGTATCCGAAAGAAAGAAAAGTAGCATGTGAAGGTCTATGAACAAGAATGTCTGCTGCAGCATTGTCTGTTTTGGCAAAAACTGTTTTTTTGAAACTGCTCAATTGACTCATCATTAACAGAACTGAGTAAATTGCAGTTCGTCACTATTATGTAATATTTCACAACCATTTAAATAAAGAGTTAGCTAGAGCTCTACTGACCTACAACAGATTTCTCAACCTTGGCACTACTGACATTTTGGGTGAGAGAATTCTTTGTTGAGAAGGGGGGGGCAACTGTCCTGTGCTGGGTTAACCAGTATCCTTGACATCTACACACAAAATGCCAGAAGCATCCTGCCTCCAGTTATGTAGATATTACAATCTGTTACACTGGGGTTGGGGTGGGGTGAACAAGATCTCTCCCTGTTGAAAACCACTTAGAAGGGACGTCCTAAAAGATTGTGACATGAAACAAGGAAGCTGCAGAGTAATGTCTTTATGACTAAGAATTTTGTAAGAGTGGGGGCACCTGGGTAGTTCAGTAGGTAAAGTGTCTGACTCTTGATTTTGGCTCAGGTCATGATCTCAGGATTGTGAGATCGAGCCCCTTATGTGGGGCTGAGGATCTGCGCTCAGCAGGGAGTCTGCTTGAGGTTCTCTCTCTCCCTCTCCCTCTGCCCCTCCCCCCTGTTCACTCTCTCTGTCTCAAATAAATGAAATCTTTTAAAAAAATACATCTTTAAAAAATTTTTGTAAAAGCAAATAATAATAATGAACATCTCACATATGTATGTAAGGTCTCTGAGCTGAAGAAGGAAAGAAAGTAGTACAAGATGCACCGAGATGCTGGCATTCTACCATCTCAGGGGGGTGCAAACAGAGGGTAAAAAGAAAAATTAGCAACTCCTTCTTTATGTTTATCTGCCTATTCCACCAGTTACAATGTGAAAGTATTATCGTTGTGAATACTCGCAGTTTAAGAAAGAAAAGTAATTTTGTAATTTAAAAAAAAAGAACCCAGGCCACCCATGTGTTATGTCAACTAAAAGAAACCACTTAAGGTTTCAAGGCTTCAGATCATTACATCCATAAAAATAGATAATAAAATCACTCAAGTAATTGCTAAGAGACTTTTATAAGAATAATACCATTTAATCCTCATGAGAACACTATTACTACATTAGACTTAAGTTTCTCATAAGGTTCAATTGAAAAAACATGGAAAAATACTTTTGGTGAAAACCAACAGAGATTCAAATGATATAATTTCTGTAACAGATTATGTATTTATTACTAAAAATATGGCTTCCTATTTAGAATCTATGCACCTAACTACCAAAGATGTGAATAATGTGTGTAATATAGACACTAGACAACTTCTATCTTCACTGTTAAGACTGCATTCTTAATAGTTACCATTAACATGCATTTCGTACATTCTATGTGGCAGGGACTGTTCTAAGTAGTTTATACCTATTAACTCACTTAATCCCCATTATGATTATGATCCCCATTTTATAGATAAGCAAACTGGGGCATGGAGAGTTAAGCAAATTGCAAGATCACACACAGCTAGGGAGTGGCAACATTGGGATGGCACCCAAATCCAGGCATCAGGCTACGCTGCCTCTCTCTCTGTTAAAAAAAACTTGGCTTTAAACGATGGAAAGAGCTAAGATGTCCATCGACAGATGAATGGATAAAGAAGAAGTGATATATATATATATATATACACACACAATGGAATACTACTCAGCCATCAAAAAGAATGAGATCTTGCCATTTGCAATGACGTGGATGGAACTGGAGGGTGTTATGCTGAGCGAAATAAGTCAATCAGAGAAAGACATGTATCATATGACCTCACTGAT